AAAAACAGCCAAAAGTCAGGGAAAAATTGACAATTTTCACGAGTTGCTTAAAATCTTTCTTTTTTCGGTTTCGAACGCAGTATATATTGCGATGAAGTGGCATATCTCGCGATGCATTCAAGAGTTAAGTATTTCCAAATGTTCTACAATTAATTCCTGACTCCTTAGCTTAAGCGCGTTTCAAATGAGACGCTATATTAGCGCGATGGTAGCTAGCAAGGTGTAAATTTGGCTGTGCGTTCATGGCGCGCGTACTCAAAGGTCAGGGAATTTCTCCATTTTTCGTCAGGGGAAACCTGGAAAAGTCACGGAAAATCATTTCCAAATTTTTGAGGCAACACTGTCTCTTGATTAATATAAGTTTCCGGAGCCCCGCCGAAACTTCCGCTCGAGGTTTGTGATCTCGACGATGAATCCAAAAATCCAGGATGTCTGTCGGGTATATCGAGTCTTCGGCAATTTTCTTAATTTTAATAGTGATCGTAACAAATTTGTTTTAAAATTACCAAAAATTGTGGCCGTCCGCCAATAATGGACCGCCTCATATTAGAGGGGACATCAGAAAATAATTTGAAAGTTCATTGCTCCAGGGACAAGTCAACGTTGGAACCGGCTTAGGTATGCGAAGGTCCCGCGAAGCCCGCTCCACTAAAATGTTCATGAAAATAATTTTTGACAAGATCTGACCGCCGCCGTTGAAGGTCTTCAAAACGAGAATAAAAAACATTAGTATAGGTTAAAATTATCAATTGGTATAAGAGAACATGAGAGGAAATTATTATTCTTGGTTGCTCGAAGTTTCACTTGAGCAAGTACTTACAGGAAGCTTTAGGACAACAAATTCTTTCAACAGGACTCTAGGACCAAAAATTCTTTCGACAAATCTTTAAGGCAATGAACACTAAAAGGACAATGAACAAAGAAAGCAATTCTTGATGAACACACTCTTGATGAACACAAACAGGTCACTGCTAACGCACCTGTAGACACATGACACATCCTGTAAAGACACATCTGGAGTTAAAATTAAAATTCAAGCTATCAACAGAGAACAAAAAACAGTGAGTGAAAAAGAAATCTTTTTGCTCTCAGATTAAGAATGCTGGCTAACTTCCTTTCGGATATTAAAAATCCATAAGACAAATCCAGCTTCGCACAATGCAGCGAATTTTATATTCCGAGGTCACATGCGTCTCTCCTCTGACCGGCCATGAAAAAACGTTGTGTTTCCTGCCACCGTATCTTCTCCAATCTACCAATTTCGTTATAATTGTTTCCCCTATAATTGGCATCATAAAGGACATACATCTAACATTTAAGGATATCCTCTGCTTCGTAGATTCAAGCGATTCTGTAATAGGCACCGTTTTAATTCTAAACTCAAACGCTCAATTGGTCTAGGGGCCCGTCTTTCTCGTTACTTGTCAGTAAGGAATCTGACCTTCAGGAAATGGCACCTTCATTTTCCAAACGGAGCTCATCAACTACCTAGTGTCCCTCATCTTCGACGAAGCTCACACGATCGGTATTCGGGAGCTGGGGCTTTACTTTCAGGGACTCGCACTGAAAAAAAAAATCTCGGTGTATTTACTAAGAAAAGGGTAAAATTACCAAGGATTCTGGGTTATTCCACCGAGCGTTTGACGTAACAAAGCAGCGACTCTGCTATTAAAAAAAAATTTCTCCGGTGTCCCTATAAGAAGAAGAGGTAAGGTGCTCCCTTTTATAACGTCTAAAACTGTTTCCAAGCCTGGTAAATCGTCAGCGTCATCCCTGGCGTTTATGACAAAAAAATTTGCTTCCAAAAACACTTTAACCTGCTCTTCTGTAAGAGACACCAGAGGAGAAATTAACAAAACCAAAGACTTTTTACACAGGGGGGGTATAATGAAAGTAAGGGTTTTCCCCCAGCCTGTGGGGGCCAAGAGAAGAACGTTTTCCCCCCGCCCTTTTAACAAAAAATCAACTACGCTCCTCTGTTCGGCTCGTAAAGTTTTCTGTAAAAGACATTCCGCTTCTTCTACTGTCCTAGTAATTAAAAAACGAAAAAAAAAA